CGGGGTGCAGGGCTGGGGGAGCCGCAGGTTTGCTGGAATCCCTTGCAAGGCTTTTGCTGGCAGCGTGTGCCATGACCAGCATCCGGCCACCACCACCCCCGGCCCACAGAACTCAGGAGCGTCTGCGTTGTCTGACGTTTACCCAAGCGGATCAAAGTGGCGCGGGGACGGACGCCATCTTACTCCAGCAAGGCGGGGGCAAGGGGCTTAGAAAGCAAGCAACGCCTTTAGTGGGCCCGCTGCAGGAGAGCGACGTCAAAGCCAGCGCCTTGTCACCCGCCAAAGCCGATGCTCAGGGGCTGTTTTAGAAGAGATGCTGCCGCCCGTTTCCCATGGGAGGGAGGTCTAGTTTGTAGCCCTGTAGCCATGCTGATCCCAGGCTACTAGAGACACCCGGTGGGGGACGCAGCGACTGTTCTTGCACCACCCTGTGTCGGAGAGAGGCCAGCTGCCGAGCTCAGAGCACTTCAGGGCTGGGCGGTGGACTCCGAGGGTCAGAGCCACACGCCGCAGAACGGACTGTTGAGAGACTAGTTACATGTTTCCAGGGGCCATTCAAGGTGAAGTGGCCAGTTAGCGCCTCTCCAGTCACAAGGGGCAATGGAGAACAACAGCTGGGAGGACGTTAGTTACAGATTTATGGCAACAGGCCATAAAGCCCGCGTCCCTGGTCAGCCCACGGCTGTTTGCATCGAGTGAAGTTAGGACTAAGCTCCCCGGCGGGTCTTTCCGGAGGCCTGGGCAGGTGTCCCGAAGCAGGGACAAAGGGCAGCCAGGGAGTGAGCGCTCCGTGGAACGGGCGCCCGCACAGAGCGACTTTGAATCGTTTGTCTGTGTGCGTTCTCGGAGACCAGCGACGGGCTGTGTCCACGCAGCACCTTGGGCCGCTTTTATCTGCGCTGCACCACTCTGTACAGGGGGCTGCAGGAAGAAGCACCAGGCAGGGCCGCCCGATGGCTTTTGGCGAGTAACCTAAGAGCTGTTCGTCTCCTGGAGTCTTGGGAGAAACAAAGCAGCCCAGGGCATCGCTTCAACACGATAAACCCGGACTCCTGTAGCACAGGCCAGGGAATCCCCCAGCCCTTCCTCCAGCAGCCGCAGTGGCAGCAAAAGTGACAACGTCTGCTTAGAACGGACACGGTTTTACCACCATTAGGGATGTACAATCCCAGTTCATTCGTTAACTGGTTAAATGTAATGTTTAACCAGTGACAGGGAGGACTGGCCGGGGGGAGCGGAGGGGAGGGGAGGGGGAAGATACGCTCCAGCCTGGCCGAAGCAGCCCCTCCCGGCGATGCGCCCGGCCCCATGGTGCTGGAGCAGACAGACCCTCCCCACATAGTTCACCTTTTACATCCCTAACCACCATGTTCCCAGTAAAAACCACCGGCACACTCCACACACTGAGAATCCCTGGGAGAGGGCAGGCCTCACTCGGCTCCGATCCGGACCGGTAAAACCTGCCTGATTTCAGTGGAGTGACTCCCAATTTACACCGGTGCAAACGAAATCAGGACCAAGGCCAAGCTCTTCATTTCGAAGACGGATCTCTGGGGAGAGCAGACAGCTTCCTTTCCAACCGTGCACCCCCCTCCAACAGCACGAGTGCTTCCCAGCAAATCAGCCTGCGCAAGGTGCAGTAGAACGTGTGTTTGCTAACCACATGGTGCGTTTCTTCCTCCAGAGCCTCCATTTTCTTTGTTGTGCAGAACAGCATCCACTCCTGGGCAATTTATCACCAGTGACTAACACACTTGCACACACGCAGGCGGGGTCATTTGCTGACTAACATTTTTCAGTCCAGCCTCTAGCTTTGAAAAACGTGCAGCCTTTGTTCGGAGGTGAATAACTTGTGAATTCGCCCACAGGGTCTCTGTTGGGTGCTTCTAACAACACACAAGACTAAGTAAGGAACATATACAAAAGCATCTACTTAGTGGGCAGGTGGTAACAGAAAGTGCAATGCCTGAAGCAGGAGACAGGAAAAGGGTGTTAGTCGCAGAAGCCATTGTTTCCAACGGGATGGAAGGACTGTCGCCTTGTCCAAGAAGGTAGAAATTCATCGGTTCCACATGACGGCTCTATGGCATCACAGCCAATTCAACCACCACATTGGTTTGTCCGTTAGTGGGCATGCAGCTCAGCCCCACTGCCATTTGATCCGTACCCCTCGTAAGCTAGGTCCACGGAGGTGCCAGCTGTCAGAAAACACTCAAGGTGGAAGTGCTTAGCCACTGAGCTCAAGAATGGAGAGAGACGTGGAAAGAATTAAGGCCCTCACAGGGCAAAGATACACTCAGCAAACACACGCCTAATATCCAAGTGGCGCATGTACGTAAATCCTTTCAGGACCAGAGTCTAAGTCACCAAGATGATGAAATCAGGTCGGCCAGTTTAATACTGCTCTCAAGTGGCGGCAAGAAATTA